AGGGCCAACATCTGGACGTTCAGATTCACATAGTTGACGAAGACGCTGCCCTTTTGTTTGCCATCCTTGGCTGCGGCGAACGCCTGCCAGTAGATCTCGCGCAGTACCCGGATCTGGAAGAGCTCCACAGAGTCGAGCTTCAGCTGCTTCTGACAGTAATCGATGCACTCTGACTTGGGCATGCACTGGGCAATGAGCAGGGCACTGGCCTCCGCGTGCTCCCGATAGATGAGGGCCGCCTTCTGCGGCTTCTCTATGCTCTTCATGAATCCGTTCTTGTACGTCTGGTAGCAGCGCTGAAGCAGCGCCTGCGGCACTTGATAGTTCTTGGACAGGGCAATGTCCAGGAGCGGATAGACAAGTTCCTTTTGCTCCAAGTTCTCTGGCAGCAGCTCCACAAACGTCGCGGAGAGTCCGGCCCGACGGTCAAGCAGCAGGCTGGCCAATCGTATGGCCGACTTGCTTATCTTTCGCGTGGAAGTGAAGAAGCAGGCGAAGAAGCTGCTATCGCACTCAACCAGGTGGTGATGGAAGTTGACCAGGAACTGCAGAGTGGCCGCCTCCAGGGGCTCCAGTTGCTGTTCGCTGAGCTCACAGAAATCCCCGTAGTAGTCCAGTAGTCTCCTGAAGGATTCCCTGCAGTCGATGGGCTCCTTTAGCTGGCTCAGCCGGTTCAGCAGCAGCAGCAACAGCTCGTAGTAGTGATTCGGTTTGCTGTTGGACATGTATTCCTTGGCCTGCAGCTTGGACGTGAGCAAATCCAGCATCTGAGAGCAGCCGCTGGCATTCACCTCGAATGTTTCGACCAGTGCCACACACTCGCTGAGTTGCTGATGCTCCTGCGGCTTTTCCACGGAAGAATCCAAGGCAATCTCCAAGGCCTTAATCAACTGCAGTCTATACTTGGCCGTGAAGCTGTCGAACCGTGGCAGACTCCGGCAATATTCCGTCAGGCGCCGCAGGAAGATGACGTAGTTCAGTCGATTCTCGCTGGTTTCGCTCAGTATCTGGGTGGGATGCAGCGGTCCAAGGCGGCTGTTGTAGATGTAATGGAGCAGATGGTGGGTGTGGGTCTCGGGCTTCTGCTGATCATCCTCCTGTTGTATCTCCTCCGCGCCAGCATCCACTTGGCTGGCGATTTGCACAAATTTGATGAGATAATCTGCCGTTTGCTCTGCTTGCGTCTTGGTCAGGCGCTGCCTGGATAACGACTGGATGAAGACGAACAGCAGATCTTGGACATAGATCATGTTGCGTCGCGGGTTGCTCAGGCTGAAGTGCAACGGCATCGTCTGTCCCTCCTCTAGTTTCAGCTCAAAGTGTTTGCCATCCTCTGGCTTGAAAGTGATCTGAAAGGCCTGCGAATCCTCAGCAGTTAGAACCTTTCGGAGTTCCTTCAGAAGCGGCCATTTCTGAGCAATGGCAGCGGGAAGTTTCTTGGGCTTCTCCTCCTCGTTGCCGCTGCCGGGCAACCAGCTCTTCATGTAGTCGTGATATTTCTCCAAGTGTCCATCGTACAGCTGCAGAACCTGCTCCGGCTGGCTGTGGTAGTGGAAGAGCATGACAAAGACCTGCTCCACATAGGCATCGTACGGCGCCTCAATATCCACGCCCTGCAGCAGCAGGGGCATCATCTTGCTCAGCATCAGGACCTCCACATACGACTGCACTGTCTGGCCCGCCTTGATTTGGGCAAACAGTTTGCGGATGTTCTCGCTGCTAATGGCTTCTGTTGCATCTGAGGCATCCAGTTCCGGCAGCTTGATCTTCCGCCAGTCGAGGCACAGAATGGTCAGCAGAATGCTCACGACATTCTCCACAGTCTCGGCATCGAAGCCAATGAGCGATTCCAGCCAGATGTTGATCTCATTGCTGCAGGAGTCGAACAGTCCAGTGTTTAGGAAGAGGCGATTCAATATGTTGCCGGCCTCCGCCTTAATGGCCACATCTTCCAGCATATAGGCCTTGATGAACGAGCGGAAGACCTTCCCAAAGAGCTCCTCTTGGGGATTCAGAGACATCGGGAACAGCAGCAATATCGTCTTGATCGACTTCAGTTCCAGCTCAACTTTGACGAGCTCCTGGGGCTGATCGACGGCATCGAAATCGGTCTCGTAGAGCGGCCGCAAAACCTCCAGATAATCGAGAATTTTACTTGTTTTGTTGACAAATGCTCGATTCTCTTTGCACATGAGCAGGACCAGATCCAGGGTGACGGACAGGCACTCTAGGACATTCACTTCCGGCTGATTCTGCTGCTTGATGGCCAGATAGAGGGAGTACAGGATCGACTCGATGGTCGGAAAGTGCACCAGCAGGTGGTTCAGCAGATCAAATTTGAATTTACGCATCGAGTTGCCTGCCTTCTTCGACTGCTCCCTGAGTGCAATGGCGCCCACATAGTTGCTGTACTGCCTCATCATGGCGAGGAGCAATCGCTGCACGGCCAGGCGCAGTTTGAAGTCCTGATTGTTCAGCATGCCCTTGCCCGTAATGTGGAGTAGCCCCTCAATGGGCAGACACAGCTCCTTGATCCAAAAACCGAGGTCCGTCAGCGTCATCTTGTTGAATGCGGTCGACAGGGAGCTTGGGGGCACGGCGTCTATGATCTGGGCCAGAAAGAGTGCCGCCTGGGGGATATCGTTCATCGGCACTTTGCTGGGGCTTATCAGGCAGGAAAAGTTTCGCACCGTATTGCGTCCCAGATCGGGACACGCAGTCAGGGTCTTGATAACCAGTTCCGTCTTGCGTGGATTGCTGTAGGGTTTGTAGAGCGAGCCCAGCACCTTGCCCTGCAGCTTGTTCTGCTTCTGGCGGTAGTGGGTCATGGCATCGAAGCAGATTCCATGCTTGCGGGAGGTGAGCAAGAGCAGGAGCAGCTCATGGACAGCAGCTGCAACAGCTTCGGCTTCCTGTTCGTTCGGCTTTCCCTTGGAGTGGTTGCTGACGAACAGAGCTGGCAGGCCACTTGGACCCTCCCAGTCGTAGAGGCGCCGCAGGGATTTGCAGCATTCCAGATCAAAGACCAGGACCTTTTTCGTCTTCTGGATGTCGGGGTTTTCCAGCACATATTGCCTGAGTGCGTTCAGCACTACGCAGACGGTGACATGGTCGTCATACACCAGTCCCTTGGCGAGCACTCCAATCAACTGACCCCGATCCAAAATGTTTCTTATGAGCAACGCATTGCCATCGACTAGGAACGCCAAAATAAAGTGTATGTACGCCTTGCGGACGGTTTCGTCGTTCTGGTAGTCATTCTTTGCGTGGGACAACATCTGATGCATGACGCTCACATTCGAGAGGATGTCATAGGAGTTTAGAACCTGACGTCCTAGCTGCGGCTCCACGCACACAATCGCCGTGAGCAGCTTGAGTGCGTTGCGGCGATGGCTAGGCCGCGACGACTGGAGCAAGTTCTCAAGCACTCCGCCATGGGCTTTCAGAAAGTAGCGACAGCCATGGGCCGCAGACTCGATGTGACCCTTCTGATTACTGAGTATTTCCATCACGATGCGGTGCAGTGCCTCGGTTAGGTAATCCACATGCAGAATATTGCTTTTGTCGATGCGTTCAAAGGCCTCAGCCAGCTCCAAGGGTTTCCCTCGCTTCTCAATGTACTTGGCAACGATCCTGGGACGCGTCTTGCACATGAACAGAAAGTGCCGCAGCTCTGGATGGATGAAGAATGGGCTATAAGAATAACCAGCTAGAAAAGTGGCATTACCAACCTACCAGTTATAAAACTATTGCTACGGAGCTTGGTGCGGAAATTCATCATTTTGAAATCGTTGGGAAAATTGGGTGTATTCTCCTCCGGTTCAATCCCAGAGTCGGGGCTTATCTCTGCTTCATCCAGTGCGTGGTCACCGTCTCCCTCCGGAACCACTTTCTTTGGGTGCCTTTCCTTACGTTTCTTTTTCTCTGCGGATGGAGGGGCGACATCCATTTCCACCTGTTGCACTTCTTCTGCATCATTACCAGATGTTTCTAACCTATTTACCTTTTCCTTAGGAGACTCTTCTTCTGCATCCTTTACTTTATTCGCCTTTTCCTTCTTTTTCTTTGGCGTGTCCGACTCTTTGGGAATCTTTTTCGGGACCACTACCTCGCCATCATCGAGCTGCTGCTCCATGCTCGTCGCTTCATGTTTCCTCTTGCGCCGATTCGGTTGTATGGCCATTTTGATATGTTGACAACACGCTTGTCAGATGGCCGGAATATCTTCAGCAACGTCCCTTACTCTATTAAATAAATAAATGCACTTTCAAGGAATTTGGAATTGCGGCGCGGCACACACGTGCTGTGAACGATGAATGGACTTAACCCACATAGCCCCCGCTATTTAAACAGGTGAACAACTTGAGCGGAAAATAATGCTAAATGCGAAATATTTTTAAGGGTTCTTCCTAACCTAACAAATAACCCATGATATCTTTCACCTAAACTCCACTAAAATCCTTCAAGTTTCATCCTCTTCGTAGAGGGTATTTCAATACCCCTTGGTCGAGAATGGGTTAATTGGCCACGATCAGAAGTAAAATTCCTCGATTTTGATATTCAATTATATCCAGCTAGGCAGTAATTATTAATGTCTTTTTTACAGATTGAGAGCTTTGGACGTATTTGATTGGTTCTGCTAAATTTCATTATGATAGCTTTAAAACACAGATTTACCAGTATCTGCATTCATTAGTGCCTGGGATGACAAACATTACCTCAATTCTATACTATCCCTTGCCCCAGGGTATGCTCATTCAGCGGCTTGTGTGCTGCTTGTACAAATCATATGTTGCTAACGGCCTTCAATACTATCGACTACATAATCGCTAGAGCTGCGCGCCGAAGTGGAATTTGAATGAAATCTAGTGGATTGTGGAACAAATTGACTGCTGCATTAAAAAGACGCCAGGTAGCGTGTTGGTGACCAGTGATCAGTGCTGGAAAATGGCGTACGAAAATCTTAAAAGCCGAAAACGAGATAAATATGTTGTTTAAAATTTTCTATAATGGAGAACTAAGATCGTATTGAGAATACATATAATCAGTTTAACGTACAAATACAGCTGGTCTTAAACACTGAGCGTCGTTCAAGAGTCGCATGCCGCATGGGCATATGACTCATGCGAACGGTTTTTTCCCATTTGGCAGTTTCTTCTACGTAATCGCTTCCTTTCTTTTGAATTGTTCATTGGCCAACTAATCATCCTCCAGCGCTTCATTCGTAGCTCCACTGGGTCCTCCTCCTCCTACTGGGGCCGATGTGGTGGGCACAGGGAACTCCGGCAGAGTGGAACGCTGTTTTCCCGGAGCCGGGGGAACGGGAGGTAAATCAACGGATTTACTTGTGGCTGTCAATGTTGTTTAGTTAGACCTCGTTGTTTATGTTTAATCAGATAATCTGATAAGTGTTAATAACTTACCCAAACAACAACCCATTATACTTCGCAGAGCAATTCCCTGTAGAGCGTGCAAAATTGTTGAAAGTTCTTTGAGCACTAAATCAGGCAAAATCAAATCGGGGGCCCATTGACTCGGTGTACGTACGTATGAGTACACCTAACGTGCAAACGATTCATGGCTTATTGATAAGACGCTCATTTCTTTTCATTTTCTTTTTGTTTAAAATGTAAAGTGGGTTATTTATGACCGTGGGTATGGCAGCTATCAGTTTGAAGGTCCGCAAGGGTTCTATGGGCCCAATAGAAATGAGTTTCGGGGTATGGTTATAGCGCACACTGTCGGTCGCCTGCAGCCATATCATTGAGGTGGACTCGACAATTAAGATAAGCGCTTATCGGGACAAACAGTTTTGTACGCTTCATAGCTGGTGCTGAAATTTCAATTATAAAATGTATCGAGCTCTGATGATATATATCGAAAGAAATATATTTTATTGTGAAGAAAATGTTAATTAAAGTTATAGCTATTATGCGATTTATTATTACTGGGAGCCAAGAACCATTAAATAATATATATTTATTTTTTGATCTTTTCTTGCGTTTGAATTTTATCTGCTTCGCGGTTCATCTGTCATTTCCAGCCAAAATTCATTTTACAGCACTGTCGTACGAACAGCTGATTCGTCGTGCTCTCCTCTCTCTCTCTCTCTCTCTTCTTATCTACCCTGCTCGCTCGCTCTCTCCGCCCAACGTAAACAGCGTATTTCACGCTTTGATAAAAATGTTTTAAATCAAAAAGTGTTAATTAAAGCCGAAATCAAAATCAATGCGGCTGTGGACGCCGACGGTCGTGTGCGCGTGAACGAATATTAAAACAGGAAAAGCAATCAAACAAAAGAACAAACAATTTATTGAACAGCAGCAGCAGAGTGCGTGAGAGTGTAAGGTGGCGAGAGCGAATAGGCGCAAGTTTGCATATTTTGTGTTTATGTTCTACCTGACATTCGGCAGCTTTTGCTGTGAATTGTGAATGTAGCCACAAAGTGAACGAGCCGAGAAATCACGGCCCAAAGCGAATAAACAAGAATCGTAAAAAGAACGGCCATAAAACGCAGGTCTCGCTCCGAGCTCCGAGTCTGTAAATTAATCCAAATCAAAAAGTTGCGTTGTGGCCAAGGAATTAGCCACTGCTGGACAGTCAGCAGCCCCCAACCAAACCGACAATCCCCCAAACGAGAGCCCTCCAAAAGCTGGCTGAACGGCAGCGCCATGGATGATGAGTTCAAGCTCTGCTGGAAAAACTTCCAGGAAAACATTGCCAGCGGATTTCAGAACCTATACGACCGCGGTGATCTCGTGGACGTGACCTTGGCCTGCGACGGCAAACTGCTGCAGGCCCACAAGATAGTCCTGGCCATATGCAGCCCCTACTTCCAGGAGATCTTCACCAGCAATCCCTGTCGGCATCCCATAAGTGAGTATTCCAGCCATCTAACAGATGTGGGAAGTACATAACTTCTGACATGTTCTAAACTTGGGAATTGCTAGAAATTCCTTTTGTTTGCTCAAGTTGTTCACGCCGCCACAGCCGTCGCTGTCGTCTGTGCTCCGTAGTCCGTCCGTCCGTCTGTCCATCTGTCCATTCAGCCAACCAAAGTGCGCTAAAAATGCAAAGTTATACGGCGGTAAATATACAAACTATGTATGTATGTATATGTATTCCTTTGTGCAGTGCATATGTTAGACATGGCTAAACATCGCCAAATGGCGATAGATATTTGTCATTTTATCACTGATAAAGTGCACAAACCGGGGGGACACTGGGTCCTCGTTTGTCTCCCTCCCTGTGGCTCCTGTCCGGCACGGCACCCGTCACCCGGCACCTATCTATCTATCAGTTTATCTAAAAGCGCCCGTCAGCCTGTCTGTTCGTCACTGTTGTCAAATGCCAGCCCCCAGCACGATATAAATCAACTTCTGTATTAAGTTCCGTGACACATTCAACAGTTATCAGACGCCGAAGAGAGCAGCAGAGAACTCCAGCCACAGTTCCAAAGCTGCAGCTCTAACTAATGGTGGCAGCACGTGTACCAGTTCGGAGGCAAATAAAATGATTTCGCTTGTCATAAATCTAAAGGCAAACAAGCAGGAGGAGTAGCAGCAGCAGCAGCCGCAGTACGAGTACGAGTACGAGTAGAAGTAGGAGCTACGAATCGAGGTCTGATAATCCTCCGTTGAGCTATGCTATTGACGCCACGTTGTCTCACCCGGCTGCATGCGAGAACGGGCTGCATGGACTGCACGGCTCTCTCCATGTGTGGTAACTGCAAGAGTCGTGTCTTTGGTGGCTTGTTTACTTACGCTACGGATACGCATATGCATTGTGATAAGAGGTACACTCCAATCGAAGATTGGGTGCGTTGCTGACCTCATCAAAATGTACTCCACAATGGACTCTACTCTAGAATGGTATATGGATATGATATCGCTGACTGCCTGACTGCCTGACTGCCTACTGCCTGCCTGCCTGCCTGCCTCCCTGCTTTGTGGGTGACTCTATTCCATGTTCAATTCTGGACGGACAGAGTCCGTGTTATACACGGCCAGCCCTGTGCTGCACGGTGGCTTTATCTGATCAAGCGGCAATAAAAACTAAGGTTTTATCTTTTCAAGTAGCAGCAGGAAGGTGCTACCTACCAACAAATAAGGTACAAGAGGTATTTCCAAAGATAAAGAATATTAATATACCCTATAAATAATGGTAACGGTATGTTGGCAACTTGGGCGGGGGGTTGGAAGTTATTAAAAATAAAGCAACTAAGCAACCAAGCAACCAACAGCAACAACTACAGCCATCATCGAGGTGCTAACAAGCCAAATGTGGTGCGTGTTACACAAAAACCCACTCGATCGGTTACCAGTGCCATCCATCCATCCAGCCAGCCATCAAACAACAATAGTCTCAATATTTTTATCTTTTTATCGCGTTTAACAATCATTTATTGCCCAACTGAGCAACTGGGTCCCCAACCATCCAATCCCCTGGCCACTCGAAGACTCCACCATTTGAGATATTGATTAGACGACGACGACGACTAGCACGGGTTTTGTGATACGCTCTCCGTCCGGGACAAGTGGCCAAGTGCCGTGCTATATGTATCTACGGCACACAGCTGCTCGCCGAGCTAATCCTCGAATATTATCTATTTCCATGCCGTTTAAGTTTTTATTATTGGCATAAACAACTCGGACATCGGACATTTTCGTTCTCCACCTGCCCACAGAGCAGAGCCCAAGTCGTTTATCAGCCACTTTGCTTTGGGTATCACTCTTAATCGTAAAATAAGATTTTGAACTTATTGCCATTGTGTTGTGTTAGATAACGCACTCAGACGAATGGCAAATGGGTCTGGGTCTCGTGTGATATTGGTGGCTCTCGAGGACCAGTCAGCCATGGAAATAGCCCCAGCCCCAAGCAACCGGAGTCCAAGCGATGCCACCACTCCTATCCGTGTACCTCCCGTGTACCTACCGATCTCCACTACCAACCACCCCTCCCCATTCACAACTTCAAGTAGCTGTTGCTTAGCAGCCATAAATGTTTCGCTGAAATAATATAATATCGATCGATGGACTTGTCGTAAATATCAAAAAATAACCAATGTTATTTATACATATGTGCGTACGAGTGTGTATTTTAGTGCCCAAAACAGAAGCAAAGACGTGCTGTTTATCAGGCCCCATGGTTGAGCACATTTTTTGAGGTGGAAGTACTTTTAATACCGTTTATCCGGTCCTTTAGTTAAGATCAGCGGTGACAAGTCTTTTTTGGGCACAATCCTATATCAGCGAAACTCGAGGCGAGCCTCAATGCCGGTCATTCTGAACATGCGATGTATGTTGTTCTTTCAATGCCCGGGAATTCTCCTTTGCAGCAATCGCCTGTGCGTCTTGAGCACGAATGTGCCGCGTCATGTGCGTGCGTTGGAAATATTCGGGAGCTAGGACGGGGCTTAGATTAATGTTGATGATGAAGTTTAGCTTCATACTTGGCTTTTCCTGAACTGTAATCAACTGATCTGTAATAAAGAAATCATTTTACGACCCTGGAAAACTGAGATAGATCCAAATAGATATTGAGAGCAATTGGAATAGATACTGTCAGGAGAGTCATCTTTATATACAAAAGTACATCTCGACATCTTCAAAAGCTAAGAATCCTAAATAATATTTAAAGAGATTTTGATTTGCGACCCTGGGAAGTTGAGATAGATCCAAATAGATATCGAGAGCAATTGGAATAGATACTGTCAGGAGAGTCATCTTTGTACATAAGTACATCTCGTCATCTTCAAAAGCTAAGAATCATAAAGAATATCTACACCCCAAAAATTGTTAGAATGATCGGCAGGCGATCGATAGGTGAACTAAAGAATTTGTCCCATCTCTTTGTTCAGCATCTACTGAACAGGTCAAAATCTTATGGAACGTTATAAAAATCCTAAGAAATCAAAGGAATTCTACAAATATGGCTACATATAATGGGGTTTTTATACCCGATACTCAAAATGAGTATTGGGGTATATTAGATTTGTGGTAAAAGTGGATGTGTGTAACGTCCAGAAGGAATCGTTTCCGACCCCATAAAGTATATATATTCTTGATCAGCATCAATAGCCGAGTCGATTGAGCCATGTCTGTCTGTCCGTCTGTCCGTCTGTCCGTCCGTCCGTCTGTCCGTCTGTCCGTCTGTCCGTCCCCTTCAGCGCCTAATGCTCAAAGACTATAAGAGCTAGAGCAACGATGTTTTGGATCCAGACTTCTGTGATATGTCACTGCTCCAAAAATATTTCAAAACTTTGCCCCGCCCACTTCCGCCCCCACAAAGGGCGAAAATCTGTGGCATCCACAATTTTGACGATACGAGAAAACTAAAAACGCAGAATCGTAGAAGATGACTATATCTTCTAGAGTGCAAAATCTGAACCAGATCGTATAATTATTACAGCCAGAATCACGAAAACAATTTCACTCTTTCTCGCTCTGTCTCACTCTAACACACAGGTTTCATGGTCGGTTTTGCCAATTGCAAAATATGAGTTCAAGGATCTCAGAACCTATAAAAGCCAGAGCAACCAAATTTGGTATCCACACTCCTGTGATATCGGACCTTGACCGTTTCCTGTCCAAATTTCGCCACACCCCCTTCCGCCCCCGCAAAGGACGAAAATCTGAGGCAACCACAAATCTCAGAGACTATTAAGGCTAGAGTAACCAAATTTGGTACACACACTCCTTTAAGATGTCACCATAAAACGTATATCTCAGAATTTCGCCCCACCCCCATCCGCCCCCACAAAGGACGAAAATCTGTTGCATCCACAATATTGCAGATTTGAGAAAACTAAAAACGCAGAATCATAGATAATAACCATATCTATCAGGTTGCTGAATCTGGATCAGATCAGATCATTTTCATAGCCAAAAGGAGCAAATCAATTTGCACTGGCTACGCAGCGCCCGACGTCACGCTCAGACTGATTTTCTGTCTCTCTCGCACGCACTCTTTGTCGTGTCGTTAAATATTAGCGGCGTCTGCCGGAGGAGAGCCATACTGACTTAGTATCGGGTATAACCGTAGAGTTGCGGTGTCCGCAGCAACTCACAACGTTCCCCCTCGTTTTATCCTTTTTTTTGTAAAACTACAAAAATTCTAAGTTTTTTTTTAGAATTTTATACACTGTAGTTATTAATATCTTATTCTATAATTGGTTGGTCATCGCTGAAACTGAAGCGTATTTGGAGGGTCAGCCAAAATCGTTCTATAAAACCGGCATCGAACGTTTGGAAAGGCGTTGGACTGATTGCATTGCCCTAAAAGGAAACTATATTGATGAATGAATTCGAATTTTGATGTAACTCTTGTGTTTTCTTTGCTAGACCGGGAACTTATTGCCCGATATGTTATTGTAGATCTATTGGGTAAGCCCCTACTACGACCCAAAATAGAGAGATATCCAAAGGTCGTAATTAAATCGTTAGCAATTGAGTAAATATTTGAATTCCTAATAGGATCATATACAATTCTCATCCTTTAACAGTATTTTTACTAGACCAAACGATTTTTGGATATTCTATGTGATTCGAAAGTTATTATTAAGGTCTATCAATTGCCCTTATTGAAATGGAATCCTTAAATTCATGGCACTGATACTTTCCCAATGATATATACTTTTCTAAATGAACCTTTACGTTATATCCGTGTAGATTTTGTTTTTCAGGGATAATCCTTGAATGGCTTTCGCTTTGGGCCTTGCCCACACGATACCCCTTAATGGCCTGCTTACGTCGCTTTTATGATCCCTTTCATATAATATCAAACTTTGACTTTGAGCATATGAAATTTGATAAATGGGGCTTTTATGAGGATTGTCAACACAACAATTAGTAATTTATGGGCTCCGAAATGGCAGTAGCCGCAAAATTAGATTGTTTAGCTATCGGCTAAGCTATGGGCTAATCCCTAGTCCAGGTGCCAGGCCTAGGCCTTCGGAGACATTGGCACTGGGGAAAAGGTGATACATATATCGACGAGTGCGGAACCCAAGTCGGAGGCATGAATAGAATCTATCCAGAAGGGGGAGAGAGACACTATATCAATGTATAGCTGGCCATTGTGTGCCGTTGGGTTGGCTGGAAGTGTTGTTGGGGCTTCTTTTAATTTTTTATCAGGTTGTACTACTACCAGTACGACTATTCGACTACTCGACTATTATGGCGTTTTCAGAGATAACAAATATTTATGAATGTCAAAATGAGGGGCAGCCCACTCCACTCCACTACTACACTCCAACGACAACGAGGGTAACAACAACAAGATCCTATTGGCGTTCTGATTCGATAAACATTTATCATAATCATAAAATAAAATTGTTTTTGAAATCGATCGCCTGCAATCCGATTGGTGGAAGCGACTACAGTGGGCGTGATCTTGGCCATACTTTTGTGGGTGTAGCAGAGTGCTCGTCCCGAAAGAGACGAAACGAAACGAAACGAAACCGAACCCAAAAACCTTAACCGAAATATATCTTTGTCGAGTTGTCGAACCGGCAAGCCATCGTAAGATCTCGCACCCTCGTCTTGATCTATTTATGAGACTGATATCAGCGGAGATCACTTCGGGGTCAGCGGCACATAAAAATTCCCCTTGGCGTCGCGCTGCTCGTGTTCCGCTGTACATCGGCTGGAGCACAGAAAAGATGCCCGAATTGGACATTTTGGTGTCTGGGATGGTGGATGGTGTGGGTCTTATCAGCAGCATACACACGGATTTATCACATTTTCCGTGAACTTTAGACAAAGTTTATCTACAGCTCCGGCATAAATGGTTTATTGATTCGCTGGCAGGCTGTGTGTGCCTGTGCCTGTCGCTGTCTCTGTGTCTGTGGATCTCTTTGTCTCTTGATCCAGGGCCAGTCTCTATCGCTATCGATTCCTGGGATGCCCATTAGTATCTGTGTTTGCCCAGAAAACTAATATAAGCTCTGTGTTTATACGTAAGCCCGTATCTATCTGGCATCACCAGTCAAGCTCATGTGTAGATCAGATCGGCTTGGGATTACAGACTGTACTCTCCTCTCCAAGCTATAGGCGTACATTCATACTCCTATATATTGCATACATACATACATATGTATATTGCCCGGATTTTGATCTTCGCAGTGCGAACGGCAAACGCAAATACGGACATGCCAAAGGCAAAGGCCCAGGCCCAGGCCCAGGCAGCCAGATAGATAGATAGACACGAGACAAAACGATCCGTAATGACGACTACGGCGAATGATAGGGCAAACACTTGATGGCTGCTGCTGCTCCGTCATTCCGTCCTCAGATTAAGCAACAGACGAGAACTGATCGTCGGATTAATACATTCACACATACATACATCCATCGGCATATTGTACGTGGATGTTTGTATATTAAATTGTTATTGAGAACAAGTGATAATATTGTTTTTAACTAGATGTTGATGCTGTGAGTCTTGCACAGTGGTCTGCGATCGGGAATGAAATGGCGGGGAAAATCCTGGACGAATGTCGGGGGAATTCTCGCAGAGCTGGGGAATCCCATTTCATAAACGTAGATTGATTAAAGATACTACGTGGGGAAACACTTAAGGGAGGGTCAGTTATGAATGATGGGTTTATTGGTGTATTTGGAAAAAGGAGAAGGCGGTGATCCCAAGGACCTCTGTTGTTGATGTACAGTGACGGCAGTAATTGGAGTAATTCAGAGACCGAAGAGCTTGAGCAGAATGTGAAGGAGCTGGAGGTAGGAAGGATGTGGTGCAGAGATTAGTAAATATTATATAGCATATATAAAGATTAATTCCAATAGACAGCATTTAGTGTCTATAATATTCCTATATCCATTGTGTCTCTCCTCCCTTCGGATATAACCGATTCGCACCACTGTGCCGTGTCCGTGTCCGTGTCCGTAGATCGTAGAATCAGTTTCGAGTCCCGGACAGCTTCAGTTCCACAGTTCCTCAGTTCCATAGGCCGTGTCGAGCGCACTCCGATGATATGTCATGCTACTTATTTTATAATTACTGCTGTTGCTGCCCCGCCGCTCCCCTGCTGCTGTTGCTGCTGCTGTTGTTGAGGTTTATATTTAAGTTTTCAGATTTCTTATCGTAGCTGTTTTTATGTATTGATTTAGTATTTGAACGTTTCGATGATAACATCTCCACTATGAATGTGACCTCCTTTCGGTCTGTGGATGATGTCGAATGGTGTTGTTGTTGTCGATCGGGCGGGGAACAGACATATGCGCCTTATGTAAACGTTTCACCAGCTAGTACTTGGGGAATTTTCGGGGAAACAATCACTCAAAAAAATATTAACTAATTCTCTCTCAACTTGCAGTCATTCTCAAAGATGTGAGCTTCAACATTATGCTGGAACTCTTGGAGTTCATGTACCAGGGCGTGGTGAACGTGAAGCACACGGAGCTGCAGTCGTTCATGAAGATCGGACAGCTGCTGCAGATCAAGGGCCTGGCCACCAACTCCAACTCCTCGCCGGCGTCCAGTGCATCGGAGAAGTCTGCTAGTCAACCGCCCAACCATGGCCAGGCGGAGGAGTCGTCCCCCAGCAATGCCCACAATAACAGCCACAGCAATAGCCATCACAACTCCAGCAACAGCGCCAACAGCACCGCCAACAACAACAGCAACAACATCACGAATAACAGCAGCAGCAGCAGTACCTCCAACAGCAAATCGGATGCGGATCACTGTGAAGCCAAGGGTCAGAGCACGCAAAGTAACTCGCGGACCACTTCGCCAGGCGGTGCCAGCAGAGCCTCCAGCGAAGCCAGCCACCTGTATGCCCTGAATAAGCGACCAGCGCCTTCCGACTTCAGCAACGACTCCCTGTCAATCTACTCGGGAAAGCAGCAGCGGCGTTCCATGAAGGAGCACACCGGTGGGCAGCACGAGGGCAGCAGCGACACTGCGGATAACGGCGCCATGCTGGAGAACCCCCTGAACACGGAGGAGTTCTTCCTGCCCCCCATTCCGCACATTTCGCTGGGCGAACCGCGATACGATCTGGGTGGGCTCAAGCGGGAACAGGATGGCCATCATGGACCGGGTGGAGGAGGAAGTTCAGGCAGCGTTGGCAGTCTCAGCTCCTCGGCCTCCTCCTCGACGGCAGTCAACACGCTCCGCAATCCCTTTGGGCCGGCCTTTAATCTGGACTACAACTTCTACAAGCCGAGCGGCAACAATAGCGGCGGGCCGAGCGGTAGCTCCAATAATTCGGGACCAGGGTCGGGAGGCATCAGCAACAATGGATCCTCTGGCCTCGGCCTCGGCCCCGGCTCCGGCCCCGAATACCCGAATGAGCTCTACATGCCCAACGATTACTCCAAGAACTTTGCCAATCATATGGACATACCGTCAAGTAGGTGTTCCACAAATCTCCTTTCCGGATTACTTAATTTATGTTTCACTTTTCTGTTGCACGTAGCTTGGCTTTCATTTTTGATTTTGATTTTCATTTTAAGCTTAATATGAGTTGTTTTTTGCTTTGCATGCCACTGCGGCTCTTCATCCACACATCATCATCATCATCATCATCATCATCGTCATCGACATGCATCCCAAGTACTTACCAGCCCACTTACTAGCACTGTCCCCTAAATGAGGATTCAGGCTTAAGGCACGAGGAGTGGAATAAGGAAACCCCAACGAATAATGGGAATAATTCTTTGTTTGTAAGGGGAATGTTTTGATTAGCTATTGCAAGCAGTGAAAATTCTGTGAATTCAGTGAAAGAATATGTATTGTATTCAATCAGTTTGTTAGATTATATCCATTGATATATATTTGTCCGTTGATTGTGAAAGTGAAGCTGGATAGCAGAGATATGAGAATAGTATTTACACATGTCATGAGATTCTGGTCTTAGTTTGGGCCTAAATCCTTTGATTTTTTCTTCTGAATGTACAAAGAACACAAGAGCCGTTTGCTATGTTATTATTTTTGTGAAATTTAGTGCCTTTTTACGACCCAACCACACTCACAACAAAAAACAGCTCAATCGCTCCTAACTAGGGCTTATTAACCCAATTAAACCCAACTAAAACACACCGGAATCATATATGTATGTAGAATAGAGTTCCCTATTTACTTTGATCCTAAACCTTGGCTTATTAACCGAATCGACGCCTAACCACCAACCGCACACAGTCTGAACAAACGCACACAGCCGCTTACTCCAGCAAAGGTAGCAGGCCACTCTATGATCCCCTGGTGGCGCCGCCTCCACTTCCCCGAAACAGCTCCCCCCACCCCTCCCCCTCTCTGTAAATAACATCCGTTAAGACGTTCCAGTGAAGAACTGTCCACTAATGTCGTTCCATCATTGTACGTTTGTTTGTTGCCCGCTGCGGACGCTGCTTGGCGCTGGAGCAGATGGCAGCAACATGGTGATGCTATCCACCACCTCGCTGCTCCATGGCAACTGCGTGTTCAATCGCAACAACACGGTGGCCACGCAGCAGGGCATGAAGACCTACTGGCTGTGCAAGTCCTACCGGATTAGCATGTGCCGGGCCCGCTGCATCACCCACCTGGGCAGAATAATCTCCGCCACGGGCGTCCACAACCACACGCCCCATATGCGCGGCAGCCAAGGGACGGCGGCTGCAGCAGCATCCGCAGCTTCGGGTAGTAGTGGCAACCCCCCAGTGACGATCTCGCTGGCATCCCTCCCCAATCATAATCAGCCCGGCGGCTACTCCATTGCGGATGGGAGTCACATTGGAGCGGATCTGAATCACGGCGGCGGCCCCACCAGTAGTCGGTTGGGTGCAGCCAGCAACATGTTTGCCAACCAGACGTCACCTCCGGCAGCAGCCTCACATCATCACCATCACCTGGGCCAGCCGCTGCCCAACCTCCTGGTGCAGCATCATCCGACAGCGCCGCATATGGAGCAACACGGCGGCATGGGGACTGGAGCGCCACCCTCGAATGTTATGCACAATCCCAACCTGATGCATTTGCCCATGCAGCCGCACGCCCATCACCACCACCAACAGCAACAGCAGCAGCAGCAACAGCAACAACAGCACTCTCCCCACGCCCACCATGCGACAGGAGCGCCGCCACCGCCTGCGTCCCAGCACCATCTAGAGCTGGGAGGGGGCCAGGGCGTGCTTCTCTCACCCGCTCATATGCAGCAAAGTCCGCAGTCGAATCGAAGCAGCCACTCCATGCATGCCCAGGAGTCGCCGCTGGGCATCAAGAGTCCGCCCCCACCACCCGGAGAGGAGCAACAGCAGCAACAACAACAGCAGCAGCAGCGAGTGGACATCAGTTCGAGTGCCGATGGGTCGGCAGAAAGTGCTGCCGCGGGGACGGCGCATGTCATCAACTCCATTACGATATCCCCCAGCAGCAGGCACAGCTTCAAGATGGAGAACATTTAAGGTTGCAGGCTCCGCTCCTGGCGCACCGCTCTAGAGGAGCTCTAGGCTTTAAGGAGGAGTAATTTATTGCGGCTGGAGCCGCGTAGCTAGTGTCTGTAGTAGAAATTGAATGCGACAACAAATTGAATATGATTCGAGTCGCACGTGTACATACTGACGTGTATATCTGTTTGATAAACTAATGCAAAATGATAAACTAATACCACTCACGCAGCAGCGGGCGCTGTGGAATAAGTTCCAGATTAACCCTCAACCCTGAAACCTGAAAACTAAAGTCTGGGTGCATTAATTTTGGACTTGTTTCACGGCGCTGGGCGTATATATTTTATGTAGTATGGGTATTCTAAGGGTATGCTCTCCACTAACCATCCGGTCCGTCAGGTAAGTCCGATCTGCATGACACCTACACCTACACACACACAAACATACATACAATAATTGGGCTCATTCGTGTACGTCCTGGCATCCCAAAAACATAACCTCAAAGAAAGTAAAGAAACGATCCAACGATCCACCTCCCACCCATACACACACACACACAAGCAGAATCCACAACAGCAGCCTCTCCTCAACTGCAATCTTGTCCACTCTGTATTATAGTCGCACCCGGCGAGCACTGGTTCCAGGGCAAACTGGAGTTCATGCTGAGTCAGCGGGGCAAGCCGCTGCTGGTGCACGACGGCCACACCTTCGGGATCCAGTACGTGCGCAAGGACAAGAAGTACTGGCAGTGCAATCTGTCGCGCAAGTTCAACTGCAAGGCCCGAGTGACCACCACGGACACGGGCGAGATTATTGTGACGAACAACGAGCACTGCCACACGGAGATCCGACAACACCTGCGCAAGGACTACCAGCGAAACAAGGTGATGATGAATGCGCTGATCAACTTGAGTACGAACCGATTCGCCGATCTGCGGCGGCATAATCTGGCCGGGCTGGGGGCTCTGCCCATGGTGCCGGGTGCCATGTCCCAGGGATCGCCAATCGATGAAGTCGTGCAGAATCTGCACGATCTTGCCAAGGCCTCGGCGGAGGCCAGCCAGCAGCAGCAGCGGGCGCACGAGGCCATGAAGCAGGACATAGACGAACCGTTGGACTGCGGGCTGCGCAGTTCGGTGGCGCTCGAGGAGATGGCTCGCAGCTTCATGGCCAACAAGCCCTCCATTGCCTTCCCAGGACACGAGTCCAGCGGTCATAACATAAATGATTTGGCCAAGGACGACTCTTGGAAAGAGAAGAGCGAAGGCGATGTGCACTAAATAGTTTCGTTTCCGTTAATCAGGGCTGCATCTGGCGCAGCGCCATCTGGCGGAACGTAGCAACACTACGGTTTGGCGGAATAGACTTCAATTCAAAACGTGGACAGTTAAGTACAAAAATGGAATGATTGCAATAATACTCAAATACACTAAAAGACAACATAACCAAACCAATTCCAAAGAATTTAGGTAATTAAATACATATGTAAACGTACAATTTATTAGTGAATTTCCAGCAACGCGCATACATGAATTTTTATCGTTTTTATTGTACGTTACGTTAGTTTTACACTGTAATAAATGTTGAATTTTAATAAACTTTTTTTATAAACATCGGCTTCTCTACATCTAAATTATATATTTATCACGCGACTCAGCTTCTGAATGCGATTGAGCAGCAGATCACCCTGCTTGATGGTGGCCTGGTACTGCCAATTCTTGTTGTCCGGGCGATTCGTCTCCACAATGCCGCCGACGCGATCCACCTTGGCATGCAGCCTACCAGCGGCGATGAAGCGTGCCAGCTCCTGGTCGATGTAATCCACAGTGACCCCAAAAGACTCGGCCATGTACTGAAGCGTGAGGGAGCGATAAGACTCCAGTAGTTGGGTGTACCCAAGGATACGCATCTCTCGCACGTAGTAGCGGTAGTGAGGGTGGATGAGGTAGTCGGAACGCAGCTGCTTCTCGACCACAGCTAAATGTACGTAGAAATTCTCATACTGACAGTTGTAAAGGGAGAAGAGGAACTGTTTGACATCGGGCAACCCGTGCAAAACCTCCTGAATCTCCGAGCCCTTGATGACTTTGTCGCGTAGCTCGTTGCGCGGCAGGGCTATCATGGACACATACACTGTGTAGCGCACAAATGTGGGGTAGTCCATAAGCTCGTACGAGGTGAAGGTGCTCACGGTGTCCAGGAAGAACGTTGCCGCCGCTTTGAAGTCGCGCACTGCAACGGAATATACTCCCTGGTACACCTTCAGACGATTGCGGCGATCCCAGTCGCCGCCCTCCTCAATCAGGTATTTTGCCTTGTCGATGTTACGTGTTATTAAGTCGTGATCCAAATAGAACAGACCCAAACGGATGAGGTGGAACACAATGTCCAGGCGATGGCCCAACGAGACGGTCTTCTCGTATGTCTTGCGGAAGGCTGTCTCAGCAGCGGCTTTGTCGCCAATGCGGCACAAATACTCCGACTTTTTCAGGTTAGCCTCGCGCACCTCCATTTCGCCCAGATTCTTATCGGCATCTTCGATGGACGCATCCAGTTGTTCGATCTCCACGCGGTTGTTCTCCTTCATGCGCGTCAACAGATCCTTGTCCACAGTCCAGCCGAGTTCAGTGCAGATATGTTCGTACCATGGTGCCATATTATCGGCCCGTATGGCGTCCAAGAGTTTTGCCTTTAGGCTCACATCTTGTTTGTGCTCGGCCAAAGTGAGCAAAAACTTTGTCTGGGCCAGCTCCAGGTTTGGGTTCTTCTCCAAACCCTGCTCTTCGAGGTTTTCAGCAGGCATTTTGTTTATTTGTTACTTTTCGTTTCGTTTAACACAAAAAAAAGTTAAATTTCTCGCACGAAAATTAAATTTTTGTTTTTTTTTGTCAAAGCCGCAGAGTCATGTACAGTGTGACCGAGGATTTATTGATCAAATATATCGTTTGACCCTCAGAAATATACGAAAATATACGGTAACATTTTCAAAATATACCGTAAATATACTGACGGAGACAAGTTCTATTATACAAATTCCTCTTTTTATATTTGAATTATATTAATAGCTATATAAAACCACTAACAATTTAGAAATTGTCAACAAAAGATTTTGGCGAAAAATGTCAAAAAAAAAACATAAGGGAGTCATCAATTGCTAAATTCTGATATTCCTCAAACTGGGAGATTGCAAGATGGGTCTTGTATATGTGACATACACACTTACGTTTCATGTCGTTCTTGAACTTTATTTGTTTAAACCCTGTTTTGGTTAAAATACAATAAAAGTAAGGGCTAAAAACTTGCCAATCAAGTATGGAATTGATTCATCAATCGTATAAAATTGTCTGGGCATGGCTAAATGTTCTATATAGTTAATAATATTCGACGGAATATCAAAAACCAGGAATATTTAAAATATAACTTAAATTCGTCAGTATATTTACGCTATATTTCTGAGGGTTTGACGGCATATTTTAACGATAAATCCGCGGTCACACTGATCTGAAAAGGGGAGTGAAATTGATTTTCTGATAAAAATTTTCCTGAATTTTCTCGGAAATCCTTTGGGGCAAACTTAGCATACAGGTTCTCTGGCCAGGCTTCCCAGCAGACAACAGCGCACAAAATGATTGGTGGTTTGTTTGTGTACAACCACAAGGGCGAGGTTCTAATCTCGCGAGTTTATCGCGATGACATCGGACGCAACGCAGTGGACGCCTTTCGGGTCAACGTCATCCATGCCCGCCAGCAGGTGCGATCGCCGGTGACCAACATTGCGAGGACGAGCTTCTTCCACATCAAGGTATGCACTTGCCACGTCCACCGGATGCACTATCAGTATTAAGCATCCACTTTAATCTTTCAGCGTGCCAACATTTGGCTGGCGGCGGTCACCAAACAAAATGTCAACGCTGCTATGGTGTTTGAGTTCTTGCTGAAGATCATCGAGGTGATGCAATCGTATTTCGGCAAGATCTCCGAGGAGAACATCAAGAACAACTTTGTGCTCATCTACGAACTGCTGGACGAGATTCTGGACTTTGGCTATCCCCAGAATACGGATTCCGGTACTCTCAAGACATTCATTACGCAGCAGGGAATCAAGTCGGCCACTAAGGAGGAGCAGATGCAGATCACCTCCCAGGTCACCGGACAGATTGGCTGGCGGCGCGAGGGCATCAAATATCGGCGCAACGAACTATTCCTGGATGTGCTCGAGTATGTCAATCTGCTAATGAGCCCCCAGGGCCAGGTTCTGTCGGCTCATGTGGCCGGCAAGGTAGTGATGAAGTCTTATTTGTCAGGTAAGGATTTGCTAACTAGTAATGGAGGTCTCATTATCGTTGTAATGCTTCACTTTAGGCATGCCCGAGTGCAAGTTTGGCATCAACGACAAGATCGTAATGGAGTCGAAGGGGCGAGGGCTCTCTGGCAACTCCGAGGCGGAAACTTCGCGTTCCGGCAAGCCAGTGGTCGTAATTGACGATTGCCAATTCCATCAGTGCGTCAAGTTGAGCAAGTTCGAGACGGAACACTCGATCAGTTTTATCCCGCCGGACGGTGAATTCGAGCTGATGCGCTACCGCACCACCAAAGACATTTCGTTACCATTCCGTGTTATTCCGCTGGTGCGCGAGGTGGGACGCACCAAGATGGAAGTGAAGGTGGTGCTCAAGTCGAACTTCAAGCCCTCTCTGCTGGGCCAGAAGATTGAGGTGAAAATACCCACGCCTCTGAACACCTCGGGTGTGCAATTAATCTGCCTCAAGGGCAAGGCCAAGTACAAGGCCTCCGAGAACGCCATCGTGTGGAAGATCAAGCGCATGGCGGGCATGAAGGAGACGCAACTCTCGGCCGAAATAGAACTGCTCGAAACGGACACCAAGAAAAAATGGACCCGACCACCAATTTCCATGAACTTCGAGGTTCCCTTCGCTCCATCCGGCTTCAAGGTCCGCTATCTGAAAGTGTTTGAGCCAAAGCTGAACTACTCCGACCACGACGTGGTCAAATGGGTGCGCTACATCGGACGCAGCGGCCTCTACGAGACCAGATGTTAGACAATCAACCAATCCTGGAGCAAGAGTATCACAGTTGAATTTAAATGAAAAGAAAGGAAAGCGTATAATCGGCCCTCATTGGTATTTCCTCAATCAAATTGAACAAGCAGTTAATGTATTCCAAAATTAGTTCCAGCAAGACGGCGGGCATCCAAGTAGTGGGCCCCCCACCACCATATATCGTAAATCGTATACCGCTGCTACAGCCTCCGCTCCGCAGGCGCGCTGGCTATGCGGGCGAGGCGTTCTGTGTTCCCTATACACATACCATTACCTACTATTATTTACCATTACTATTTAATTGTAAAAACTATGTTGTTTTATATGCGCGGCGGAGCGCTTCTCAAATCTCACGCTCACGTTTTCACAACTATTGATTATTATTTGTATTAACCGTATTATATATACAGATATTATATATGTATACTTTTTCAATGTGCAAAGAACAAAGGCGAACGATGCAACTAAATGTATTTAGTAGGCCAATTCTCTCTGTCAGCGCTATAAATATTGATATTGATATTCAAGTGTTAATAATATTCGAATTGTTTAATAAATAGCATGATATATATAACAAATTTCAGCATCTTTGGATAGATGTTGGTAACAGCTGGTAGCTCCAATTAATATTTGTTAGATATTCTCTCCCACAATACCATTCAATTACCCGGGGGATAGATTGTCCACAGTACATATGATAGCAATACTCTAATACAATTAAAACAAAAGTATTGTGGTATTCTTTTTAGGGGAACATGCTAATTATACGCGAATACATATTTATATAGATATATGTAGAGAATAGTATCAGATGTACATATGTATAACCGGCACAAATGTGGAATGTACGACTATAACTTTTCATACATAGTAGCCACGATTAAACTCTAGATGGTTCCATTTATTGAAAGACTATGTGAATACAAAGAGCAGAGCTTGCCATACATATCTTTACAAATGTGTTTTAAATAATGACTCATTTTAGTCAAGCCACAAGCTTTATTTAAAGTGGTTCCTGACACATCTTGTTCGTGACAAAAAGTCACTAAAAAATGCCGAAAAAAGAAACATTAGATTGGAAAGCTTTGCTATCTTTGTCAGGCCCTTGCATAATTTTACATTGTCATGAAATCAAATCAGCTTTTTAGGACTGGCCAATCAGTTCGCCCCAATCAAAACCTATTGAAATTTTCAACGAGCAAAGTTCATTTTGGTTAAACTATTAGCTCCAGCTGTTGCCATCCATTCCCGAGGAGGAACCTTGACAATTTTAACATCTAGATATTAATTAATTTGACTGGAAATTTTTAAATTAGTCAACGGCTTCCGGCTCTCCTCCCCAGCGATAGCTCTAGGGAAGCTTTTTTACTTATCGCCCAGCCGACGGCTTATCAGCGATAAGATCCAAAACAGGTAGCGTCATTTCGTGATTTCGTTAAGGGGTAACACGGACACGTAACTCTCATGGAAGACATAGTTCCTGATGTTGTGGATAGCGTGCCCAAGGGCAGGCTGCAAGTTATGTACGGGGGAAATCTCTTCGTAGAGCAGGGCAACGCGCTGACCCCCACACAGGTGAAGGATGAGCCGAAAGTGACCTGGGAAAGCGATGAGGGGCAGGAGCGCGATACGCTGCTCACCCTACTCATGGTGGATCCAGATGCTCCAAGTCGGGCGGATCCTGAATTCCGTGAGATTTTGCACTGGGCCATGGTCAATATTCCGGGAGACGACCCATGCCGGGGTTACGCTCTTGCTGAGTATATAGGCGCGGGTCCGCCGCTAAACACTGGACTACATCGATACGTGTTCCTTCTCTACCGTCAGCGCGAAAAGATTGAGCAGACAGCGACCATACCAAAAACGTAAGTGATCGTAGATCAACAGGAAATAAGTTTAAATCTTCCTCGTTTTTTCAGCATTCGCAAGGGACGCCTGAACTTTAGCGCCAGGGACTTTGCATCCAAGCACCGATTGGGAAGTCCCATTGCGGCCAACTATTTCCAAGCACAGTACGATGACTATGTGCCCATTCGCAATAAACTGTTCACCGGTTAGGTGTTGTTTTTCCAATCTCATGCCAAGTGGTGTTTTACCTGCACCGGCTGAATAAAGTCTACCCAATCGCTTATATGGCTATCGCTACGTGAAGCTATCTATGGGTGGGAATTAGGCGTAAAGTGCACGCCACTGATTAGAGGTTCTTGGTATCGTGGCGATAAAAGGCGCACACCTAGGGATGTGGGCCAGAGTCACTGTCTTACCGCAAGACCGAACACATCAGCTAACATGGACACCGCCGGCATTATTCCAGACATCATCGACGTTAAGCCCAAGGCCAAGGCCACCATCACCTACCCCTCCGGGGCTCAGGTGGAGTTGGGCAAGGAGCTGGCTCCCACACAGGTGAAGGATGAGCCCACCGTTGTCTATGACGCCGATGAGGGCTCTCTGTACACCCTGCTTCTGGTCGATCCCGATGCACCAAGCCGCGAGGATCCCAAGTTCCGCGAAGTCTTGCACTGGGCCGTGATCAACATTCCCGGCAACAAGGTCTCCCAGGGCCAGGTTATTGCTGAGTACATTGGCGCTGGTCCCCGCGAGGGATCTGGCCTGCACCGCTACGTGTTCTTGGTGTTCAAGCAGAACGAGAAGATCGCATCTGACAAATTCATCAACAAGACGTGAGTACTGTTTTCTGTTCCTCCCTGGCACCTTTATTTGATTGTCTTCTCGTTTTCTTGATCCATACAGGACCCGCGAAGGTCGCGTCAGTGTTAAGGTCCGTGACTACATCACCAAGTACAACTTTGGTGCTCCCGTTGCCGGTAACTTCTTCCAGGCCAAGTACGATGACTACGTGCAAACCCTCATTGCCCAGGTCAAGTAATCTAAGCCTAAACTGTCCAGCTTTCTGTGAAATAATAAATATTGTACCGTATTTAATGTAAATTCCAATATATTACCTTATTTTTGGCTGCGGGAGGGAGTCCAAATCAATCAACGTTATCAGTTTTATGGACAGAAAACAGAGAGCCGCTCCAATGAGCTTTCAGGCTGGGCAGAGATTCGTACGAGACAGCAAACATCATCTGGGTCTGGTGCTATTCAAGCACAAAAACTGGATAATTGTCTTCCCTTTTATGGTACCATGTTTATTAGTTAATAGATACAAAATAATTATCAATTACTTAGGCCTTTCCCCATTAGTCATGACAGAAAAAAATTCGATTTCAATTTGCATGTCACTTTTGGTAATCTCAAGACTTTTTGTTAAAGAACTCAGCCACAAGTTTGTTAAATTCCTCCGCGTAGCGCAGGTGGATATTGTGCTTGCCCTCGGGAAACTCATGATATTGCGCCTGAGGCAGTCGCTCCTTTAACCACGGCACATGCTCGGCCGCAATCATGGGATCCTTCTTGCCGTGCAGTATGAATGTGGGAGCCTTCACCTGCTCCACTTCGGACCGACAAAAGTCGCCCTCTCTTTGGTCGTAAAAGGAACAGGCAGCATCCACCCACTCGGCCCACAGTTGAGCGAAGCGCTCCACTCCATACACCTTCTCCATGGGCTCCCGCATGCGGGGTGACCACTTGGCCACATCCCGGATGTTACGAAGAGACTTTACTTCCTCCTCATTCAGGTAGGCGCCAGCGCCCCAAATGGCAAGTTTATCGACGGCCTCTGCATGACGACCGGCCACAATCAGCGCTGTGATACCGCCATCACTCCACCCGAGAATAGAGAACTTCGGTCTGTCCAGGGCTCTCATCAAGTCCACGGCTGCTTGGGCATCCTCCCGGAAGAATTCCAATCCAAACTTGCGCAGGGGAGGCACTGATTTACCGTAGCCGGGTGGATCCCAGGCGATGATCGTGTGCTCCGGTAAAAGCTTTGGCAGCTGATCGATTTGAGGCTTGAAGTCTGTCCAGGCCGATCCCAGGGCACCGGGCATTAGCAGCAGACTCCGGGGACCGCTGCCGCACTCCACGATATGCAAATCAATGCCATTAACTTTCACTTTGCGCTCCGTGTGGACGGTACGAGAGAGGCGCGGTGCCAGACGGCCCAGGCGGTTCAACATTATGTAAGATTGGAGCGGACGTGACTCTCCAGTATGGCAACAAACTAGTCGTTTCGTTTGTTTGGAGTGCACTCCACTTTATTGAGATTTGATTTACTTGTCTTGTGCAAATCCTTAGCTGGTGGAGAGCAGAGCAATGGGTCGTTGTATTTGATTGTTGATTTTTTGTATTGATTTGTGATAAGAGCCAGCTGTGATAAGAGCCAGCTGGAATATACCGAAACATACCGTCTCATTTAACAAATATACCGTAAATATACTGACGAATTCAAGTTATATTTTACATATTCCTCGATTTTTCCGTCAAATATTCCCAGCTATATAGAATATTTAGCCATGCCCACATAATAAATAAATTTTCTACTTAACTGGCTAGTTTTTAGTCCTTGATCCTTTATCTCGATCCTGATACCTACGGAGCCTGGGAGGACAAACATTATCTCCATCCTATCATATCCTTTTCCCTAGGGTGTGAAAACTTTTGTTGCCGGTAATCATTGTTGTCAACCGGTTATGCCAACTAATTCCTGGTTATTCTTTCTTCCGTCGAATATTCCCAGCTATATAGAACATTTGGAAATGCCCAGATAGTTTTATCCCAATTCTCAATCAATTCTCTACCCGACTGGCTTGTTCCAAACAATTGCATTTCTATGGATTTTTATGAAATTTCTAATTTATTTTTGCTCTCCAGGTGGAAGTAATGTACAATGTCCGATAGCTGACGATAGCGATCGATTGATCGCTGGAAACAGCTGGGACTGCAACGAGCATGGCAACTCTATATTGGCGCGCAACTCAAAAGCTTTCCCCTGTTCAGCTTTTCCCATTCTGCCGAAGTCCGTTTCGTTTCGTTTCGAACGTCACAGCAGCGAAGGACAATGGACAGCACGTGTTGGCATTCGCAGCTCTCCTCCTCGTTCGTCGTTCTGGAGCGTGTTTGGCAAAATTATTAAAAACTAAATGCATGGAAGCGCGTTCCTAGTGTAATGTTAAGTGCGTGATGGTACTCTCGTCCCCCAGTTAATACTCTTGAGTGACGTGGATTTATCGTAGCTCTGGCCTTGCATTTGCACACTCTTGGGAGGGCACCCATTACTGCCGCCCACACAGACAGAGGTCGAGACAGGACCCGCTACAATTTCCATGGAAAATGCAAATCGAATTTGACACCGAGTTGTCGAAGTTGCGTAGTAAATGTCAAGGCATTTACACGGGTCGTCTTCGTGTGTGGGTGGCCACACATGAACATACATACATATTTGTATGTACAATGCATATGAACCAACACATGCAGCGTCGGGTATCCCTTCTAATACGCTTCTAGTGGTGCAGGTTATGAACCTGCGTATTACGCATGTGTGAGTGGGCCGTATGTGTGTATCTGTGTGACTGTGGATATTTGTGTGTTAGTAGTACGCATATGCATGCCTCGTGCGAAGTAAGCGAGCTTTTAATTTTTGGCATTCCCATGCGCTACACTCCAGCCATGAAGTCCTTTTCTTAGCATACTTTTTGGGGGTAAATGGAGTAGAGCAGTCAAATAGTTAAATTAATATACAAACCAAACAGAATTAGGAAATTTTACCAGTTTTATGCAAAAATGTGACTAAATGGGGATATAACTTCACATTTTGAGGTGCGATGAACCGCCAAAAGTGAGTCGTCTAGACCGAACCCAAGGCTTTTTGTGAATAAGCTAGCGAAGCTTTCGTTATCCATTGGAAACAGTGCGAAGAAATTAAGTTTGAAATTGCAGTTCAGTCTTGTCGTGGATGCAGTGCGGATCGATATTAAAACCAAGAGCAGCGGAAGGCGCTGCGGAACAAATTTCGACACACAAAATTGTTGTACCCCACAGTTGAGCCAAAAAATCTGCAGAAAATTCGAAGGGAATCGCGTATCCAGCAAATCGAGAATATAAAAGGAAGTTACATAAATAGAAAAAGGAATAAACTGGTGACAAAAGTGCGTTTAATGAATAAACACCACCTCAAAATTGTTTAAGATAAAATCAGAGTGACTTGAAAATCCGTTCCCTACAAATCAAATCAATAGTTCCAATCAATACTTATAAATAATTAATTGCTGTGCCTGAGTTTTATCGAGAGCTGGTCGTCAGTTGGGGTCAGTAAAAAGAGGCTCGCTGTGGTAGCACAGAAAAATTTTCGCCTAAAACTCGACATGCAGTGAAAATTTTTCCGATTTTTAGTATGTACATGTACGTTGATACGCTCGTGGGCGCTCTAGCAGTATCGGAGGGCAGGGGTATCCGGCGAGCTTTCGGCCCCAACACCAACCCCACAGCCGCAGCCACAACCACCCCCATCAGCCCCATTCGCGGTCAGCCATCGACATCTGGCTGCTGCTGCTAACGGTTCTAAGACACGATACAAAACGGCCAACGGCGGCGAAATGTGCGCGTTAGGAATCAATTTGCCAAACATTATGCAAATCAAGTGTACAAAATGCCAAAAACTCAAAGAGTTCTGCAATAAGCATCACGAAATCAGGCGAAATTAACAAGTAATCCCCGTGCTAACAGTGGCAGAACAGTGGTCAGAGTGTAACAGTGACACTAACAGGGCAATAACAGCCGCAGCCAACCTCGCTCGGCCGAGCTTTCACTCTCTCGCGCTCTCTCAATGAAATTTGGAAGCGCGGATAAAATTCCAGAGTGTAGTAATATTGTGGACACGACAGCACAGGACACGACACCAATACAAGGACACGCGAAAAGCTCCCGCTCAAGGACTGGAATACGTATACGCAACGGAGCACAAGGCGACATTTTACGTTTTACGCGCGCAACGTGCGTATATCAACGTGTGCACTAGTGTGCGTGTGCGTGTGAATGAAGGCGCCAAGTGCAACATATCAGCCCCAACCCCATCTCCAATATGCACTTGCTCCAATGACAGCCAGGCACATGGAGAACGACCACACCATGGATAAGGATAAGACCCAGCATCAAGCTGCTGAGATGCTGCACAGTCCGCGGCTCGCAGCCCCAGCCGCAACCAGCTCCTCCTCCCCTAGCGCTGACTTGATGTTCAACAAGGCTCGGCGCCGCCGAAGAGACCCCCTCCCAGAGCGCAGCCTGCCGCCCCACTGTGCCCCGCTGGTCGTTGAGTACCGACGCTCCTACCGAGTGCTGATTGTCACCGCCTTGCTGGTGAGCCTAGCGGCCAGCTTTGTGACCATCAGCGCTGGCTTCCAGCTGGACGGCTCGCAGAGCTCGTTTTACACCTTCAGGAAGTGGTACACCGGCCTGAACGGCACCCTCGAGCTGGAGTTCAAGACGGAGCAGCCGAATGGACTGGTCCTATATACCGATGATGGCGGCACCTATGACTTCTTCGAACTGAAACTTGTCGAGGGAGCGCTCCGCCTGCGCTACAACCTTGGCGGGGGGGCCCAGATCATCACCGTTGGCCGCGAACTCCACGATGGCCATTGGCACAAGGTCCAGGTACTGCGCAACGACGACCAGACCTCGCTGATTGTCGACGGTGTCTCGCAGCAGCGCTCCACCAAAGGCAAGGAGTTCCAGTTCGGAAAGTTTGCCAGCAACTCGGACGTCTATGTGGGTGGTATGCCCAACTGGTACAGCAGCAAGCTGGCATTGCTGGCACTGCCCAGCGTAATCTTCGAGCCGCGATTCCGCGGCGCCATCCGCAACCTGGTCTATGCCGATCAGCCTGGAGGCTCCACCAGACGCCAAGAGATCAAACAGCCGCGTGACATCAAGTGCGGCGATGTGCCCTGTGATCACGGCGAGTTGCCTGCCCGCGAGAGGCCTCTGAGGGTGAGTTTATGAATGAAAAGATTAGTATCTTTAAGATATAAGATGTACTCCATTTGGTGTGAGATGACCCATTTCTTATTGGGGAATAATACCATTTTCTAGTCATTATCTCTATATTATCCCAAGAGTTTGGCAAGTCTATGTTATAGAATAGAAGTTTCATCAGCATTTCTGTTGTGTCCTTCTAATCCGTATGTGATCAGGGTGTTCGAGGCAATACAACGGATGCCTGCGAAAGGAACGATCCCTGCCAGCATGGCGGCATCTGCATATCTACTGATTCCGGCCCAATTTGCGAGTGTCGAAACCTCGAGTACGATGGCCAGTATTGTGAGAAGGAGAAGGCGCCATCGGAAGCAACGTTCCGCGGTACACAGTTCCTCTCGTACGACTTGGGTCAGACGGGCGCCGAGCCCATTGTGAGTGCCCAGGATGCCATATCCTTCTACTTTCGCACACGACAGCCGAACGGCTTGCTCTTCTACACTGGACACGGCACCGACTATTTGAATCTGGCCCTGCGCGATGGCGGCGTCTCCCTAACGATGGGCCTGGCCAACGGTAAGCAGGAGATGCACATCAAGCCCTCGAAGGTGCGCTTCGACGATCACCAGTGGCACAAGGTTACCGTACACCGTCGCATACAGGAGATCTCGTCCATAACCAGCTTCTGTCGGGTGGGTATTCGACCAGTGTATGCAGGGAGTGCCTCTATATAACAGGAATCCTTTGTCCTCCAGCTGGTTACTGTCGTGGACGATGTCTACACGGATCACTCGCACATCGCTGGCAAGTTTACCATGCTGTCCTCCTCGCGGGTCTATGTGGGGGGAGCCGTCAATCCGAGAGCCCTGCTGGGAGCCCGTGTGCACAACAACTTTGTGGGCTGTCTGCGCAAGGTGGAGTTCTCGGCGGACACGCTGAATCTCAACCTGATAGATCTGGCCAAGAGCGGCTCAAAGCTGATCCAGGTGGCCGGCAATCTGGAATATCAGTGCCCCAGTGGTGACCCCCAGGATCCTGTGACCTTTACGACCCGTGAATCGCATTTGGTAAGTGGAAATACCCTTTGTTAGGAGTTCACCTTTCATCTCACCTGCTGGGGACCATCCTGCATGCTTCAGGTGCTGCCGCCTTGGGAGACTGGTAAGCAGAGCTCCATCAGCTTCAAGTTTCGCACCAAGGAGCCCAATGGAATCATTGTCCTGGCCACTGGCTCGAAGCAGCCGCGCGCCAAGAACGTAAGCTCCTTTCTGAGGCACATTTGAGTTCATTTTGAGGTGACTCGTACTCCTACCCCTAGCCCGTGTTGATTGCCATTGAGCTGCTCAACGGACACATC